ACGTATGAAGCTAATATGCTATAACCAGAGATACACCTGTGCCTTGTTTTGATTTCTAAGCTGTTTTTAGAATCTAATAAGAATTATAAATTTTTCCCAAAGAGAAAATATATGCATACATGAAATGTTGATTATAATGTAGCTTGTGCCTAGAGCCCCTGGAGATCCCAGATTAAGAAACCCTAAAAACACTAAACCCCTTTAGTATTTCTAAAGATAATACCAAAGCAATCTGTTCTCCTATCTTCTATTCAATAATCAACTACTATACACAGCACCTGTTCTATTTCTGCAGGCAGCCTTTCATTGTGTTCTTGTGACTCAGTGTTTCTGAGAATCCCTAGGAAATGCTTACATATTCCACAAATCTAGACTCATTGTCCCATTCTACCTTTGGTTCTAGAACAGTGCTCCTGGCTTCTTGGTGCCTGGTAACCAATTCTTTGCCCTGTTGGAGCCATCTTCAAATCTAATGAGCCAAAAATATGAACACCATCTCTTCAAGTTCCCGCAGAGTTCAGTTAACATAGGCCAGAAAGTTTAAGCAAATTTTGTGAGGCTAGATGTTATTGCTACGGTGCTGCTGCAGGTCAGTCGCTCAGTTGTGTCTGACTCTTTTCGACCCCATGGACTGCAGCACACTAGGCTTCCCTGTCCACCATTTCCTGGAGCTTGCTCAAACTCCTGTCCGCTGAGTCAGTGATGCTATACAACCATCTCATACTCTGTCGTCCCCTTCTCCTTCTGACTTCAATCTTTCCCAGCATCAGGGCTTTTTGAGTGGGCATCAGCCAGGTGGCCAAAGTACTGGAGCTTCAGCTTCAGCATCAGTCCTTCCAAAGAACATTCAGGGTTGATCTCCGTTAGCACTGACTGATTTGGTCTCCTTACAGTCCAAGAGACTCTCAAGAGTCTTGTCCAACACTACAGTTCCACAGCATCAACTCTTTGGCGCTCAGGCTTCCCCGATGGCCTAGCAGGCAAAGAATCTGCCTGCAATGCAGGAGACAGAATACACAGGTTCAATCCCTGGGTTGGGAAGATCCCCTGGAGAAGGAAATGACAACCCACTCCAGTATTCTTGCCTGGAAAATCCCATGGACAAAGGAGCCTTGCATGGGCTAAAGCCCATGGGGTCACAAAGGGTCAGACACGCCTGAGCGACTAACACACACACACACAGCCTTCTCTATGGTCCAACGCTCACATCCACACATGACTGATGGAAAAACCATAGCTTTGACTATACAGACTTTTGTTAGCAAATAATGTCTTTGCTTTTTAATATGATGTCTAAATTTGTCATAGCTTTCCTTCCAAGGAGCAAGTGTCTTTTAATTTCATGGTGCAGTTACCATCTACAGTGATTTTGGAGCCCCCAAAAATGAGCAGAAAACAAAAGCCCAAGACTAGATATCAGATACCCTCTCCACAAGTCACTGGCCATGGCACCTGTTCAGGGCATCCCCAATATGGCATCTCATGGGTCATCTTGCTACTGAAACTCTCCTGCAAATATATCCAAAGAACCCTATCATTTCTCTGAAAAAAGTCTAGTCATGCCCTCCTTCTTCTAGGCATGCTACTTGGCCCTCCTGAAGGAAGCTCCCTTTTCTTTCAATTAAAGACTTATTTCCTTCTATTGTGTTTCAAGTCAATACTTACTTAAAAAAAAAAAATTAACTTGGGTGAAAGAAAATAGCAATAAGCAGTAAATCCTCCACATTCTTGGTTATTTACTAGGTTATATGTCCCATTCAGAGGACACTGCTCATCTACTTGTTGTCACTTTATATACAACCTGGTTGAGTCCTTCTGGGTAGTCTCTAATCCCAGCAAGGTAAGAGAAAGATAAGTTTGCTCTGCCTTCCTGGACAGGTCAGGCTTATAATACTCTATGGGCACATCCCTCATAAAAACAGTATTTCTCAGAGACAGTCCAATATTAACCACTTTTAGAAAAACATCTATAGGCAAAGTCTCCTAAAAATATTCATAAAAAAAAAATAGGTGAAGCAATGTAATTGATGGAGCAGTCTCAAATCTCCCATTTGGGTTTTTGTAACTCAAGACATCCTCTGGGAATATGGAGGCCCATCCAAGGAAAATCTGCCTACAATGATACTAAGAGGTGCCCCATAAAAGTTTCTTCTCAGAGCAACGTCAGGGCCTAAGCCAACATGAGCTTCCACTCATAGATAATCCAACAGTTTTGGAAATGGCAGTTTGCTAATGACAATATTCAAGAAATTAAAATACTGACCCCAGGAACAAAGAAAGGCATTCTGAAAACATCTAGCAGCAGCTTATCTTTGATCTACACACACCTCCACCTATTGTTTTTTAAATATACTAAAAGATAAGACACAAGAAATAGATATGATATTTTATAACTTTTGGTTTCCATGTGTTTCTCTTATTTTATACCCTTTATATAATATGTATTCATTTAATATACTGTTAAAAATAAAAACAGACACAGTTGATCTAGCTTAATCCTCTGTAGATACTTGTAAGAGGCTCAGTAACAATTATTCTTTCTAGGTTAAATTATATTCTCACTATAAAGTGAAAAATACTGATTTTTTAAATATGAAAAAGAGTAACAAAAAATGAGCAGTTTGAGACCTGAAATTATTTAGCTTTAAATGAAAATATCTAATAATTAGTCAACTACCTATGAGTTTAGTTCAGTCAGTCAGTCGTGTCCAACTCCGCAACTCTGCGAACTACAGCATGACAAGCCTCCCTGTCCATCACCAACTCCCAGAGTCTACTCAAACCCAAATATAATGGGGAAGACTAAAGATCTCTTCAAGAAAATTAGAGATACCAAGGGAATATTTCATGCAAAGATGAGCTCAATAAAGGACAGGAATGGTATGGACCCTACAGAAGCAGAAGATATTAAGAAGAGGTGGCAAGAATACACAGAAGAACTGTACAAAAAAGATCTTCACAACCCAGATAACCACAATGATGTAATCATTCACCTAGAACCAGACATCCTAGAATGTAAAGTCAAGTAGGCCTTAGGAAGCATCACTGAGAACAAAGCCAGTGAAGGTGATGTAATTTCAGTTGAGCTATTTTAAATCCTAAAACATGATGCTGTTAAAGTGCTGCACTCAATATGTCAGCAAATTTGGAAGACTCAGCAGTGCCACAGGACTGGAAAAGGTCAGTTTTCATTCCAATCCTAAAGAAAGGCAATGCCAAAGAATCTTCAAATTACAACACGAATGCATTCATTTCACACACTAGTAAAGTAATGCTCAAAATTTTCCAAGCCAGGCTTCAACAATACATGAACCATGAACTTCCAGATGTTCAAGCTGGATTTAGAAAATGCAAAGGAACCAGAGATTAGATTGCCAACATCCACTGGATCATCAAAAAAGGCAAGAGAGTTCCAGAAAAACATCTACTTCTGCTTTATTGACTATGCCAAAACCTTTGACTCCATGGATCACAATAAACTGTTGAAAATTCTGAAAGAGATGGGAATACCAAACCACCTGACCTGCCTCTTGAGAAACCTGTATGCAGGTCAGGAAGAAACAGTTAGAATTGGACATGGAACAACAGACTGGTTCCAAATTGGGGAAGGAGTACATCAAGGCTGTATATTATCATCCTGCTTATTTAACACATATGCAGAGTACGTCATGAGAAACACTGGGCTGGATGAAGCACAACTACCTATAATAAGAAATAAAAGTGCCCCAACAGTTTAGGCAAACCTGCAGTCCATGGTGTCGCTAAGAGCCAGACACGACTGAGCGACTTCACTTTCACTTTTCACTTTCATGCATTGGAGAAGGAAATGGCAACCCACTCCAGTCCTCTTGCCTGGAGAATCCCAGGGACAGGGGAGCCTGGTGGGCTGCCATCTATGGGGTCGCACAGAGTTGAACACGACTGAAGTGACTTAGCAGCAGCAGCAGCAGTGATCATTTATTACCTATATTTTGACATGCTGAATATATCTGCTCTGTGCTTTAACTAATGTGACATCAGGAAGATGCAAATTTTTATCCACTTCAGAAACTTGTTTTGAAGAAGGAATTATTTAAATATAGGCTGTAAATAAACTGTTAAAATAACAAGAATATGAATAGGTTCAGCCAGCTGAGCAACAGAAAATGCAATCAGGAATGAATGACTTACTGTTTACACGCTTACTCTTGATGATGGGCCTTCAACAGAGTTAAATTTAAAATGTCAGGCAGTTTCTTAGCATGCTAGAGATAAGAGGCACTTTATTTTAATTGAGCTAACTACCTCACAGGGGAAGCCACTGTAGAATCCATCTAAAACAGTGTCGTTGCTTAAAATTGTGATGTCATTTTGACACAAGAGACAAGAAAGAATATTCAATGTGGATCAGGAAACTTCATATTTTAGGGAAAATATAAGGATACAATTGTAGTTTCTTTGGTAGTTTATCACTTTTTTAAAATTTACATTCCCAAGGGACCAGTTATTAAAGTCTGTTGTTCAAGTGTTCACCTTGGGTAAAGAACAAAGCAGGTAAAATATTATCATAGCAATCTCTATCTTCAGCATGCAAACTGCAGCAAGCAAACTGAGGATGAACTGGATGAATGGAGTGCGGCAGGGGAATAACTGACTGAAGGAACATTTAACACCAACTTTTAAGAATAAAGAAAGTTGAAAAAAATAAGGCCTTGAATTTAAGTGATCTGTTTAACTTCAATGAACCTATTTATTTCCATAACTTTAACATATTATAGCAACATTTTACTGTAACAGAACTGTTCATGCAAAAATAATATGGCCTGATTAATCATGGCCATATTACACACAGGGAACCATTCATCTGGTTTGGGCTCCGTCCCTGACTTAAATGGAAGTCTAGCAACAGATCATTTCAACAACTTCTTGCGAGGTCACATCCCTAGACTGAGCTGTGAATTGGCAGGTGGTCTCAGAACTATGCGTCTTAATATATTATTTCATCCTAGTATATATATTAGGCTGCGACACCACAGGGGCACGGCGGCTGCAACAGTGCAGGAGTGGCTGAGAGGAGCCGCCCCACGTCCGAGGTCAGGGGAGGCGGCCGGCAGGAGCCGCCCCACGTCCGAGGTCAGGGGAGGCGGCCGGCAGGAGCCGCCCCACGTCCGAGGTCAGGGGAGGTGGCTGACAGGAGCTACCCCACGTCCAAGGTAAGAAGCAAAGGCTATGCTTTGCTGGAGCAGCCGAGAAGAGATACCCCACGTCCAACGTAAGAGAAACCCAAGACAGACAGTAGGCGCTGAGAGAGGGCATCAGAGGGCAGACAGACGGAAACCACAATCACAGACAACTAGCCAATCTGATCTCACAGACCACAGTCTTCTAACTCAATGAAACTAAGCCATGCCGTGTGGGGCCATCCAAGACAGATGGGTCATGGTGGAGAGGTCTCACAGAATGTGGTCCACTGGAGAAGGGAATGGCAAACCTCTTCAGTATTCTTGCCTTGAGAATCCCATGAACAGTATGAAAAGGCAAAAAGATAGGACACTGAAAGATGAATTTTCCAGGTCGGTAGGTGCCCAATATGATACTGGAGATCAATGGAGAAATAACTCCAGAAAGAATAAAGGGATGGAGCCAAAGCTAAAACAACACCCAGTTGTGGATGTGATTGGTGACAGAAGCAAGGTTTGATGCTGTAAAGAGCAATATTGCATAGGAACCTGGAATGTTATGTACATGAATCAAGGCAAATTGCAAGTGGTCAAACAGGAGATCGACATTCTAGGAAGCAGTGAACTAAGATGGACTGGAACGGGTTACTTTAACTCAGATAACCATTATGTCTACTACTGTGGGCAAGAATCCCTTAGAAGAAGTGGAGTAGCTATTATAGTCAACAAAAGAGTCTAAAATGCAGTACTTGGATGCAGTCTCAAAAATGACAGAATGATCTCTGTTTGTTTCCAAGGCAAACCATTCAATATCACAGTAATCCAAGTCTATG